CCAAGGTGTCGAGGAGCCTGCACTGGGCTGGAAGTAGAAAACATTGTCTCAGCTGAATTTGTCAGAGCTCCTCGAAGGGTGGAACCTGAGCCCAGTGTTTCTACCCCAGGGCTTGGCCTTTAAGGTGAGCAAAGAAGATACCGTGTCATCTAAACGCGCTCGGAGTGACCTCATTATAAATAGGATAGCTGTTTCCGGCTACCTGTGGGAGCGTGACATTCCCAAGAGGGGAATGGGTCTTTCTGCTCTGCGATCCAGGAGCCGTTGTGGATTAATAACAAGAAGCATGTCTCCACCTGTGGGGTGGGTAAATCGGGGCAGGTGCCGGAGAGGAATCCCCGGGAGGTGGTGCTAAGACCAGAGGAAGTGCCCTCTCAAGGCTGGAGACGTGAAGGCCAAAATGTGACTTCATAGCCTTGTTCAGGATCACTTAATAAGTTATTTCGAAGACCCCTCGTACTTTGTGAGGGAACTGAACAAGGGGGTTTAAATTCTAGTTCTATTCTGTAATAATAACCTACTGAGAGCACGACGGAAGAAGCGGGATCCGGTGTCTGCATTTGGATCACGCGATGGCAAGCCCCGTCTCTCTAGAGTATGAGGTTATCACCGGGCATTTCTGCTCAGTGGCTGCAAGACAACTTCATCACAGACAAAGTGTCCCCAAACCAGGAATCAGCCTCTTGGAGCCTGTCTTGTTCACACAAATATAAAGAGGCACAAGAACAGCGTGTACTTATCACAAACTCCTTGAACACATGGTTGGAATGTCACTTACATAATCTGGCAGGCTGTGGTTGTGCCGTTACAGTACACACCCCAGCTTCCTTAAACCAGGAGGAATCTCTAAGGTCTTTTTTAAAAAGGAATCTTTTCATTTTCTATGGGAGACGATGCTCACAGCATGAGTAATGCCCATCAGTTATCAGTAATTTAGCAGATTGTGCCAGTGTTGACATTTGTTCTTGGCTTAATTGTGCGTGCGTGTGTGTTTTCAACAATGATGCAGCTGTCCCCGTTCCTGGCAATTAGGATATAAAAATGGTGTTCGCTGAATCTGGCATGGCGATCAGCTATCCATGTGTTTACTCTTTTGTTTGCGAGGCCTTCTGAGTGTTTGCTGCAATTCCACAACCAGAATATAAATTCGGCTTAAAATGGAACCTGGATCCATATTAATAGCCGCAACGGGCTGCAGACGTCCGTGTTTCGCGATCTTTGCTGACTCCACAGACTATGCTTGTGTTTGTGTGTACATTAAAGGTAATTCCCGACTTGATATAAAGATGGTGAGATCTCAGGCACCGTTAGGATTAGACGAGCCATGTCATCAGAGGCGCACTGGACGACTGCTGATCTCCTTGCCGGCTATCAAGTGGCCAAAGTCAGCATCAGCCTTCACTGCTGATCCCTGCAGGTGACGGGGCCGTTGAGAAGAGCCAGTACCCAGGGTTAAGTAGTTACTTTCTCTTGACTATTTTGGCTCTTGGCTCAGTGTTTTTTGCTTTTTGGGTTTTGTTTTTGGTTTTGGTTTTTTGCTGTTAGATTAGCTAGTTAATGCTATTGTCAGCTAGGGTGGGGCCCAATTGCTATTAGGTCATGGCAGGTTTGAATAATATACCTATGAAAAAAAAATAACCTGGCCCTTCAGGAAGCCGTTTGCCAATAATCACTAAAGTGGAACCTTCTGTGATCTAGCAGTTTCACTTCTGAATAGTGATACCCAATAGATATGCATGCATACAGTCACGAAAAGCATACACTGGAAAATTCCTGGAGACAGCTATCCAGGGGTCCATCCACAGTAGAACGGATAAGTAAGCCATGCTCCAGGCCAGCCATGACATTCTCTACAGAAATAAGATGGAACCAACTAGAAGTGTATCCACAAACTAAATGATAGCACACAAAGTACTTGCTTTCTAACACCGTGAAACAAGAGACCACAAACTTAGTGGATGAAAACAACACACACTTACCAGCTCACAGCTGCCGAGAAATCTGGCTTCTCGGCAGAGGGCCTCACAGGCTGGGGCTCAGACCGTCTTCCTAATTTTCATTCAGGTTGTTGGCAGAACTCAGGGCCTTTTTTTGTGATCGGAGGACTGAGGTCCCCCATTTCCTTGGGGCCTGTCAGCCGGGAGCCATTCTCAGCTCTCAGAGGCCGCCCGTACCTCCTGTCATGCGGACTCCTCTGTCCGCAAAGCCAACGATGAAGAACTTCCCTCGCGTCCATCTGTCTCATACTTCAAAGCTCTTTCGCCAGGAAGAGCTTAGTCCCTTTTAAGGGCTCATGTGATCAGGCCCACTGAGAATAGTCTCCCCTATCTTGAAGCCAACTGATTTGGGCCTTAATGACATCACAAAATCTCTTCACAGCAGCACCTAGATTCACGTTTGATTGAGTAACTGGGAGAAAGTGTGAATTAGGAGAGGATGAGGAATCTCCGGGGGCATCTTAGAATTCTGCCCACCTCGCCCGACAACATGGATGAATCTTCTAGCCAACGGCGAGCGGAAGAAGTCAGACACGAAAGAATATATAATGTATGATTCTATTTGTAGAAAATGCAAGAATAGGACGTACTGATCTTTGGGGTTAAAAGTCAGAATAGTGGTGGCTCTTGAGTACATTGTCACTGGAAAAGAGCAGAAGAGGGGTCTTGTGGGGGGGGGCGGCGATAATATTTTTGTTTCTTGATCTGTGTGCTGCTTACACGGGTGTGTTCAGCTCGTGAAATCTCAGCAAGCTGTGCATTTTTAGCATCGTTTAGATTTCTTATTTTAAAATAGATTCATTTTGTTTTTCCAAGGAACTGTGCATTAAAAGACAACTATCAGAGCGGGTACATGATAGGGGTGGGGAACAAGCAGAAGAAAGGAAACAAGAGGGTCTTGCCTGGAGTGGTGATGGTACCTTACGAGCTGCACAGGTGAGGACCAACCAAGTGGAACATCCGTACTCTATCAGCTTGGATGCATGCGCAGGACCCTCTGCCTCATTTGTGTGGCCTAGTGCAAAGCAAAGTGCGGGGTCTCCTAGTTCAAAAATTATTAAGAAGTTAAAGACGGCAAGAATGGAGCGTTGGGTGAGGGGTGAGGCGGTGGGGGAGGCCCTGGTCTGCCTCCCAGGAAGCCTGTGTGGGAGAAAATGTCACATCTCCCATTCCAAAGACTTCCTGCTAGATGAGCTACTTTGGGCATCTAGAACTTGGATCCTTTGGACTGTAAAGTGGGTTAGCTAGAGGCTGGGAGGCGCTAATTCAATTGATATGCGCAAGAGCAAGCACTTGTAAGACACCAAATAAATACAGGCGCGATTATAATAATGGGCCATCTAAATGGTTATGCGTTATTTCTTTAATTGGTTAAAAAGCCTACCTATGACCTCATAGCTAAATATCTGGTGCATAAACTCTTTACAGAGAGCACAGGGTCCGCTTCCACCTTGTCAATTAACACGCATTCCAAGTTATTGATGAATCCCCGATCACGAGATTTACCCCCGTGTTCCTTGCTCTTTCCGGCTGGAAGAACGAAGTAGCAAAGGGTAAGGCCGGAGCAGGGGAGTCCTCATCAAAGTTCTATTTGCTGGCTGCGGTTGGAGTCAGTCCCGTCGAGAGCTGAGTCCTTGCCCTGACTCCAGAACCTCCCTAGCGGCTAGAGGGCCCTGAGAAGCGGCGCCCTGAAATCATCCAGCGAGGTGAACGCCGCTGGCACGTGACACCCCGGGCCTCGAGAGACCGCGGTGTCAGGATGGCAGGGCTGTCGCCCAGCCCGCAGGGCGGGGTGTGATTGGGAAAAGAGGAGCGCATTTAGGGGATTGGATTTCTGAAGAGGCACGACTCTGGCATTGCATTTCTGTTTATTTTCCCTGGCGTGCACTCTGAAGCACAGACCTTTCCAGACTTACTGACTTACTAAAGCTTCTGGCGACCGTGGTACCCTAAGGCGGCTGCCTGCCTGACCTAGGCTTTACGAGCGGTTCTAAGGATGAGACAGGGTCCCTGTGTCTTGGTAACAACAAGGTCTTTGACGACCGGCCGCGGGCTGCAGCCTGGGGGGGAGGGAGGAGGCCTGTGGCCGGGGTGTAGAGCCTCGGAATTTTCTCCCGGCAGGAGCTGGGTGCCCGGAGCGCAGGCGGCAGCCCCGCAGGCCATCAGCATGCAGGAGCCGCGCGCGCCGTCCTTGAAGGGCTGCCCGCTGACCTTGCTCCGCTTTCTCCGGAGAAATCTCCCGGGCGCGAGGACGCGGCCACCGCGGTGACTCAGTGCCCCTGCGCGCCGCGAGCAAATGCTCCCTTCCAGCATGCCCAGCTCCGCCGCGGCTTCCCCTTCCTGCCCTCTTTTTTAATTCCACGATTCAAACCCGGCGTTTTCCGCTCCACCCCTCCCCCTCTCCACCGCCCTCCCGTCATTCGCCAGACTGTCCGGGTGTTTTGTCCCCCACCTCCCATCTGCAGAGCCGAAGGCCAACCTTCGCGCTCCCTCGCTGCGGGCCGAGAGTCGGACGGGGCCCGCCGGGGCAGGGAGCCGCGCTGGGCGGCCGCTACCCGAGCCTGGCCGGAGGGGGCGGTGCGCCGCGCTCGTGGGTGCCCGGGCGGACGGCGCGCGGGCCCCGCTCCCCATTGGTCGTCACCTCGGCGGGAGGGGCCGCCCCAGGCCCGGGGCACCTGGAGTCGCCTCTCCGCAGGGAAATCGGCGGCTGCCCGGCACGGGCGTCCAGAGGTAAAGGCGTCCGGAGGGAGGGCCCGGGGCTGCGGCCGAGCTCTCCGCGGCCAGCCCTGCCCTGCCCGCCGCCCTGGCGCCGGCCACGCTCGGATGCCCCCTGTGCCCGCCCCGCCGGGCGGAAACTTTGCCTGGCCACGTCCCCTGCCCGCCTAACAGCGCCGAGAGGCTCCCGGTCGGCGGCGCGCCCTCCGGGGCCGCGAAGCCCCGCGCGGGATTATTCGCCAGGCGCTCTGGTTCGCCGCGCCCCGCCGTGCGCGAGCGGCCGCCAGGATGCGCTACGCCGACCCCTCGGCGAACCGGGATTTGTTGGGGAACCGAACTTTACTCTTCATCTTCATCTGCGCCTTCGCCTTGGTGAGACCTTGGTTGCTGGCAACATGCAGGCGCAGAAACTACATCAAGAGGTAAGAGTGTCCGAGTGGGCAGTGGTGCACGGAGCCTGGGTGGGCGAACCCCCGGGTGGTGGCCACAGAGTCGGCCCGGGCTGAGGGACTGTGGCTCCACTTTGGCTTCCAGCACTGCCGCGTTAGATTTTGGGTCGGGCTTCCTCTCCAGCGCATCTCACCTCCCAGCGGGGAGGAGAGTGCCTGCCCATGTGGGCCAGAGGTGCGACAACTTTGTTCTCTGTGACAATGGGGGCAGGCTACCCGAGCCGCCGATGTCGATAAATCCATCTGAATGCCCCTGAGAGCCACGGGGTCAGGGATCGGGAGTCAAGTCCACATCTACAGTGCCCCACAGACGGTTGGAGGGGAGTGCTTCCCAGGAGCGGAGGACTCAAAACCCACTAGGGATCACCCCCCAAGAATCCTGAACTTTTGGTAGGCTTCCAGGTGGAAAGCATTCCCTCTCCCCTGCAGGAGGTAAGGTGGGAGAGAGGTGGGTGGACGGTGCCAGATAGTGACCAGTAACCGCCAAGCGTGTGGGAACCACAAACCCGACTTTCTGAGACAAATTGCCCTTTTCTCCACCTACAGGAAGGGTCAGAGCTGGCAGCAGAAGTTAGTTTCCCTTGTTAAGAAAGCTTCCACCCCACCTCCCTGTCCACCCACACGCGCAAGAACTCCCGTTCAGAGAAAGAGAGCAGTGGGAGGGTGTCACGGCCCCTCGGTCGTTGTAAAAAGGAAATGCCAGCTGCTCTTCTCAAGGGTGGGTGGGGGGGGGAGTACTGCTTGCCATTTTGTTGGTTTCAGAGCTGGGTGTGAGAGTGCTGACCCTAGGATACTCCCACATCAGAGCCTCTTTTGGAAATAGCCTACCTCTCCTTAGGGCTGCAGGTCTTGGCTGCCGGTGCCTCCCCACATTCGCTCACTGCCCCTCCCCCCAGGCCGATGGAAAACAAGAGGCCTCTCCAGCTGCATACACGTCTTGTCTTCTCCAGACTTCCAAATATTAAAACTGTTGTTCTCTTTTCGTCGTTTGGGTTCCACATCAGTCACTTGTGCCTCTAGTTCGTGCCCCTGGTTTGGGTGAGGGTTGCTGCTGGGTTTCCTTCCAGAAGCAGGAAAGCCAGGCAGTTAGGCTATTTCCCCTTCCACGTCCCAGAGCTGGGGAGTCTGAGGTCCCTTGTCCAGGACGTTTGTGGACATTTGGCCTCTGCTCCTGACCTCCCCAGGCAGCACTGTTGCCTGGTTAAAAGCAGCTGCTGAGCTTTGCATGGTGCTGGGGGCTTTGAAGGACAGTTTCAGAGTTTCCTGGCTTGCCCCGGTTTGCCTCCTCTTCCGGCCACAGCTGCCCCTGCAAGATAACCCTACACAAGGGCCGCTGGGCCCCAAACGGCCTCCACCTGCACTTGCGATGCAGCGGGGTGGCTCTGGGTTCCTGCACCCTGCTGGTACCTGCAGCACCACTGGGGCTGCTGGGATCCCTGCTGCCTTGTCAACAGTGGGAAAACATCAGCGCCCAGGGGAAACGCCAGCTCAACTACTAACTGGTTGCTCTGGCAAGCCCTCCCGGGTGTCGGTGTCGGGTGGGGGTGCTAGCTGCCTCCCATCCCTCCCTCACACAGAGATCCTGACTCCCTAAATCTCAGCTGCCACCTCCCAGGCTGCACTCCATCGACTTGGGCTCATCCAGTCAGGCATACAGAACCTGCACATACCTGATCCTGGAAGGATGCTGTGAGGGTCTGTGAAGATGATTCCGCGGTCCTGGTGTTCAGGGGCTTTGAGGTCTCTTTGGGGAAACAAAAGGACCACAAAGGAGATAGATAAGTAGTCAGTGTTAATTCAATTGCTGGAGGAAGGAAGTTCCAGTGGACTGGAGTAGTTAGGGAAGACTGCCTGGAGGAGGTAGAAATTAAGCGGGCCCTTGAAGGAAGCAGAAGATTTAGGTGGGTGTGTTCGGGGCGTGGGGGGGGGGGGGGGGGGGGGGGGTGGAAGGGCTAGTGCACATTCCAGAACTGAAGAGGGTGCGAGCAAAGGCACCACACCCTTCTACATCTCCCGTGCCTGGACTACCCACCTACCTGTTTACCTGTCTCGTTTGTTACACATCTCATTGTGATGAACTGACCTGATGTGATTATTGGTCTGTGTCCTGTCTGGAAAACACTCCACACTTGAGTGTTCCCCAGACAGAGGTCTTGAGACAGCCTCATGAGAATCACTCACGGGGCCACTGAAATGCAGATTCTTGGGCTCAGAATCTGAGCCTCTGGGGATGGAGCCAGTACCTGCTTTTTTCATAGGCTCCCCAGCTGACTCGTAGCAAGTTCCCCCTGCCGCTCTAGATCCACAGTTCTCTGCGGGGAGAGGAGCGTTACCCCCAGGCAGTATCTGGGCACATTTTTGGTTGTCACACTGGGAGAGAGTGCTACTGGCATGTTAAGGGTGGGGGCCAGGGATGCTGCTAAAGATCTGACAGTGCATCACCTGCCTCCCACAAGAAGGCATCGCCCAGCCCCAACTACCAGTGCTGAAGCGGAGAAACCCTGCTCTAGACTGAAAGCCCCAGGAGGCAGGGATTCGCTCTGTTTTGTTCCCACCTGCACCCTGAGCACCAGATATGGTTGCCTGGCACACAGCAAGCTCTCGATAAATACTGGATAATGAGGAAATGATTGAAAGTGGTGTGTGTGCGCCCAGGGTAATCGGAAGACGAAGTGAAGAAATGGGTCCAGCTGGTAGAAGGCGGAGTGTGGACAAGGAGGACCGGATGTAACGTTGGGCGAGAAGCTTCAGTAGGTGCTTTGTGGATTGGGAAGGACAGTTTGAACTTGGTTCATTCAGTTGTAGGGAGCCACATGGGGTCTTTGAGTAGAGTAGTGATATGATAAAAGCCACTAGGGAGGAAGGTTTTCTGGGTTTTGTAAGGAGAGGTTAGCAATGGGGAGAGACTGGGAGGCCATTGTCACAACCTGGTCAAAAGCGAGGAGAATCTGGTGTAGGGGCAGATCCCCTTTAGACCTCGGGGATTCCTGAAGGCTGCTGCCCTTTGCGTCTGGGCTGGACTGGGTTGATGATGTATTCAGCAAAGCCTCCATTGTTAACCACCTCACAAAGAGCTCACGGGCACAAAGATAGCAGACTTTTTCAGTGAGAGTCAGGGACAGGTTTCACTAGAAGGGAGCGGGGGATGTGAGTGGATATGTGTTCTTTCTTTGGACGCCTGGCCTCTCAATGTGCTGTGCAGTGGTCACTTCTGGGAGTTCCCAGTCAGGACTCTGGGGACCCATCTTGCAAACACCTCTGGTGGTCAGGAGGGGAGAAGGGGGGCAGTGCAGAGGGCCCAGGGGGCATAGTGTCTCTAAGGAGACTCTGTGGATTGGGAAGAAACAACATGAGACGCAACTGCGAAGTTTGTCCTTGATGTTCTTGGCTTCCTCGTGTCTGGTCTTGGTTGAACAAGTACTTAGTGAAGATTTGCTGTATGCTAAACAGTGCACTAAATTCTGAGGACAGTGGTGTGCAAGACGAACACAGCCCAGGGGCTCTGGGGAGCGTGCAGTCTCTTGGGAAGACGGAAAGGCACATGATACATGCATAAGCCAAACTGGAGGTGTGAGCAAAGGACTCCAAAAATGAGTAGGGGGCCATAGTGGATCAGGATAGTTTCAAGGTACATGGAGGCATATGAAGGGAGTCTGAAAGAGAAATGACTACAGGCATAGGGGGAGGTGGAAGGAAGGGGGATGAAACCCAGCTTGGATAAGGACTGCAAAGTGCAGAGGGAAGCGAAGTAATTCTGCATAACTAGAATGTCACAGCTGTATAGTGGGGGGCGGGGTGCAAGGTGAGGCAGGCAGGGCTTGATTATGGAGAGTCAAGTAGGAGATGTGTGAGAAAAGCATGTTTGGAGGAAGGAGGGTAACAGATTTGAGTCTGGATCTGTTAAGACACTACAAGAGATCCACCTAGAGCAATCCTGCAGCTCCTTGGGAATGAACTCCAGAACTGGGG